AGGAATACACAACTCTGAGGCTGGGATTATTTAACTATAACTGAACTCCCAAAGCTAGCATTCACACAAATTCCATAAATCATAGTGTATTGGAGTGACCTTCTTAAAGGTGGTTACATTAATGTAGAAGAAGATACAGTTTTTCAGTTAGAAACACCACTATATTACAAGGTCCAGAAGGCTCATAAGACACATTAGACCTCCTAGGAGAAATACGCATCACAAACTTATTATATCTAACAAATCATAATTTAATTCTTCTAAAATATATGCTGGTTTATGGATTGTGAAACCTTACCACTTGGAAATAAAGATGTACTCAGCAGACGTGGGCATCAAGGGTGTTTTGGCGTGGCATTGTAACACACTCTAGCACACCTGCAACACAACCTGAGACCTTATGATTGGGTGGAGCAGCTTTGTACCACCCTGTGCGAGTGACAAGAAATGGTAGCTGAACAAGCAGCTGGCAGCTCCCGTTTTAATCTTCAAGTGATCCAAACTCTGCACTGTACCAAGACAAGATGGACACTTGTTAAGTATGTTTTCAGTTTTAAACCCTTTTGTTTTTAATATTTTGGATGCCTGCCTTGTAATATATTTTCTGTAAATATTAATTGCACCATTTTTCTTTTCATTAAAACAATATTTAAAAAAAATTAAGCTGAATCTCTGAATGCTCTAGCTAGAATGTCTACCTCTCCGAAGAAGCTAATGTAGCGTAAACCTCTTTACATGCCTGTCTGGAAATTTTTTCTTGACAGACATTTTGTAAAAGGTCAGAATTCCAACAGCAGATGCTGCAAACAATGCTTGTTTCCATTAAAATACATGGTGGTGTCTACTATGTGTGTGTAACAAAGCCTTTCTCAACCTTTTTTACATGGAGGAACCTTTGAAATAATGAAACTCTCAAAAACAATTACTTTATATACAGCTTATGGCACATTAACATAAACAGCAAGCAGTAGATATAGGAATAAATAAATAAAAATAAACAATGTGACGCACTTGGCCTATTTGACACTCAGGGTTACTTAATACCACAAAATTATTTTTGGGAATAATAATGAAATGAAAAGAATAATATAAGACAGAAAATAAAATCAAACGGTGAAAATTGTAGTATTTCCTCACATTGGGAGTAAGTGGAAAAGTGCCCCCTTACATTGGTGGTCAGTGAAATGCTCCCTTATATTGATGGTCAGTAGAGAAGGGCATTCCTATATAAGTGTATAGTTGGTCAGTGGTGATGGGGCTTCATGGTGGTCGATGGAAAGAATGTCTACCTTACAGATAGGTAATGAGATCATTGATGTCAGTGGTTACCTATTGGAGAGGTACAATCTGCTTATTGCTCAGGGAACCCCTAGCAAACTGTGGAAGACCCCTATTGCTCCACAGAACCCTGGTTAAGAAAGGCTGGTGTAAATAGCCAACTGCTAAGGTGACCAGCCCCAGTGATAGTCAGTCTCAGTCTGCTAGTGTAGATATTGTTGTCCCACAAGCTGGAAAATCTCTGTGCAGGGTGAGGCTGAGTTTATATCTGAGTGTACCTGTAATTCTATAAACCTTATTGTTTATTTGAGAATAGTAATTCTGCTTTCATGATCATTAGGGAACTATTTCAGATCACATTCACACACCCAGAAAGACAAATCACACATCTTTCCGCTGATCTCATTCCTCTTCTGTCCCAGGAGAAATTATAATTCATAGCTTACTAAATAAATGGCATGATAATAGTCATTTTAAGAATGTAAATAGCTATGTAATAAATATGGCATGCCATCATCACTGAAAAGATAACTGTCAATGCAGCTGTCTTCAAATTTTCATTTCCTTGCAGAACAGATAGTCTAAACAGAAAACTGAGAACACTTAATAATCATATCATTATACAAGAGCCAAGTATTTTTTGGTGGGGCAATAAATTACCTTTTATTTATTACTTCCCTCTTCAATGCTCTTCTGTTCCTCTGCAATAAAGTTAAAACAAACAGATTCCTGCCTTCTGCTCGTATAAACACTGGCACTTATAATAGGAATCAACAAATCACGAATCAACACCCTCTGTTTATTTTAAGTAGCGTGTGAAAACCTGCCATTTGTACAGGTCTACATCATTGATTTCCACTCCAAGAAAGAATAGATTACTTTAATTTTTGTGCGCTTTCCCAGTTTTACTAAACACTCAATGCAGAGTAGCATTTTAGATATACAGGTGAAACTCGAATAATTAGAATATCGTGCAAAGTTCATTTATTTCACTAATACAACTTAAAAGGTGAAACTAATATATGAGATAGACTCATTACATGCAAAGCAAGATAGTTCAAGCCGTGATTTGTCATAATTGTGATGATTATGGCTTACAGCTCATGAAAACCCCAAGAACCCCAAATCCACAACCTCAAAAAAGTAGATTATTACATGCAATCAATAAAACAAGGATTGTACATAGAACAATATCGGACCTCTGAAAAGTACAAGCATGCATATGTACTCAGTACTTGGTTTGGGCCGCTTTTGCTGCAATTACTTTTGCACGATATTCTAATTATTCGAGTTTCACCTGTAGTTCAGTAAACTCCCCATTATCCGCCATTCAAGCAACCGGCACTCTTAAGGAACCAGCAAAAACAAAATTGTGAACATAATGAGGGGAATTTGTCAAAACTGGAGCAGACACAATCTGGAGCAGTTGCCCAGGGCAACTAATCAGCTTCTCTCTTCAGTTTATTTAGTTATGATTGGAAAATGAAAGAGAAAAGCTCATTGGTTGCTGTTTACAGCTGCTTCGGATTTTGTCTTCTCCAGTTTTCATTCATTCCCCTGAATATGTCCTTGATTTTTTTTTTTGCTGGCGGCTTGATGTACACTAAAAAATTGTCAGTTGCTTGGTGCACGCTAAAACTTTTTATTAGCAACTAAATTTATTTAGTTGCTAACCAATTTCTTTGTTTACATTCTTTGTTTACATTCTGCTGTCGACAGCAGCTAGATTCCACAGTCGCCAGCAGAATGTAAACAATATCATTAAAATATGTGAAGCGGCGCTATCACCCAACAAGTAAACAAATAATATGTGCAAAAAACAAATATTATAGTGAACAATACTATTGTGGGAGAAAAGAAAAAAATATATATACAGGTGAAACTCGAATAATTAGAATATTGTGCAAAGTTCATTTATTTCACTAATGCAACTTAAAAGGTGAAACTAATATATGAGATGAACTCATTACATGCAAAGCAAGATAGTTCAAGCCGTGATTTGTCATAATTGTGATGATTATGGCTTTCAGCTCATGAAAACCCCAAGAACCCCAAATCCACAACCTCAAAAAAGTAGAATATTACATGCAATCAATAAAACAAGGATTGTACATAGAACAATATCGGACCTCTGAAAAGTACAAGCATGCATATGTACTCAGTACTTGGTTTGGGCCCCTTTTGCAGCACTTACTGCAATTACTTTTGCACGATATTCTAATTATTCGAGTTTCACCTGTAGATAATATTTTTCTAATATTTTCCAAATTAAATCTTCTAGTCAACTGTTTGTGTAAACTCCCAATGACTAATAAAGTAGCAAATGTCCTGTGTCAGTGTGTAAAACACATAATTGAAACAAAGTGTTCATTCAATTCACCTCCGTGTTCAGACCCTTGGGTCTCAAAGCGCTTCTTATAGGTTAAAACTCCTTCCTCACACTATTTTAAGCTGTGATCTTCCTTCCTTCAGATGAGACCAATCATGATCTTAACATTTTTCTCCTCTACCGACTGCCCAACTTCATCTCAAAAAGATCTCTCAAAGACAGAAGTGGAAATCATAGCGCACCCCGTATGCATAAAATGAGTTTATTAAAAAAATACACTCACATAAAAACGAATAAAATCCCGTATCAGAATCACATTCCTGGATGTCAGATCTCACATCCAGGATCTGACATCCAGGAATGTGATTCTGATACGTGATTTTATTCGTTTTTGTGTGAGTGTTTTTTTTAAATAAAATCATTAATCGAGCGCAGAAGTCCCTGTAGATAATAGAATGTAAACAATGGGGAGCCACAGTCAGCCTGCTATTGGCTATTGCAATTTGAAATAGCAATATTTCAGCAATAGCAGGCTGGCTATTGCACCCACCACCCAATGAGCAGAGGAGCGAACATGAGAGAGAAAGTTCTCTCTCAAGTCCGCTCCTCTGCTAAGTGGGCAGGGCTTCAATAGCCAGCCTGCTGTTGGCTATTTCAAATTGCAATAACCAATAGCAGGCTGGCTATTGTACCTGCCCACTTTGCAGAGGAGCGGACCTGAGAGAGTACATGCTCTCTCTCATGTCCGCTGCTCTGCTCAGTGGGTGGGGTTTCAATAGCCAACCTGCCATTGCAAATTGAAATAACCAAAAGCAGGCTGGCTATTGCAACCGCCCACTGAGCAGAGGAGCAGACCTGAGAGAAAACTTTCTCCTCTGCTCAGTGGGCGGGGCTTCAATGGCCAGCCTGCCTTTTGGCTATTTCAATTTGAAATAACCAATAGCAGTTTCGCTATTGTACCTGCCCACTGAGCAGAGGAGCCGACCTGAGAGAGAACTTTCTCCTCTGCTCAGTGGGCGCGGCTTCAATAGCCAGCCTGCTTTTGGCTATTGCAATTTGAAATAGCCAATAGCAGTCTGGCTATTGCTCCTGGCTGCTTTCATTCACCCATCAGCTACGGAAGCTATATGATATGATTTGCTGGTATTTTTTATTTCATTTTTTTTTTTTTATATTTATTCTTTAAATACCGAGGGTAATGTTTTTTTTATGGAGTTGGTGTGCAATTAATTAATTAAGATAGCAAGTAGACAAGACCATCATTCTGCCTGATTTAATAAATCACAATTCTTTCATATTTAATTAGATTAGGAATAACTGTATATAAAATTGAACTAGCTAGTACAGTTATGTAATGGAAATAGCATTACAATTTATCATTTTTTTGGTACAGCTTCCTCCTCTTGTACCGTTGATTCCCGATGTCCAGAAGCCACTCGCACAGCAGAGCTGGTACCATGGTGCTATTCCACGGACTGAAGTCCAAGGACTGCTAACAAACAATGGGGACTTTCTCGTTCGTGAGAGTCAGGGGAAGCAAGAATATGTACTCTCTGTACTGTGGGATGGACAGCCAAGGCATTTCATCATTCAGTGTGTAGATGTAAGAATGTATATAACCTGCAATATGTCACTCTACCTCATACTCTACTATTTTTCAAAGGTGTTTTATGCTTTCTTAAACAAAGTATGCAAAAAATAAGAACAATATGTGGTACAGCCTACCGTATCTAATTATAAATCATGCCTTATCTGACTATAATAAATTCTGAGTAATCAATCTCCAATCAGCCATAGTCAGGTAAAAGTGACTTTGGATTAGTGGCTATGGGCAGAAATGAGAAATTTGCAATCATATTTTGAGAGTCAGTGATAATTTCACAGCAATGTAAAAAAAAAAAAACCCGCTCTCCTACAGTATATTGTTGGGATATTTTTTTAGGTTACTATTTTGCTTCTGATTTGGAAATATCACTAAATCTACAATACATGTGTCACACATAGAAATAGGTATCTACAGGTGAAACCCTCCAGTGAATTTTAATGATTGTATTACTTTTTATTTCTAAGAACATGTACAGGCTGGAAGGGGAAGGCTTTGCAAACATCCCTTTTCTGATTGACCATTTTCTGAAGACCAAACAAGTGGTCACCAAGAAGAGTGGTGTTATCCTTAATAAAACCATTGTAAAGGTATGGATCTATGGTATTATCACTTTTCACATACAAAAGACATGAACTGTACAATACTGTAATTACGAATACAGAATGTGGCAAACATGTTTTTTTCCTGCCACAAAATGGCAACTTTGTAGACAACATCCATACATTAGGGAGGAACTCCAGTATTGTTGGCAGTAAACAAGCTCCCTAGGTAATTTATATGGCTAGTAGGATGTTGGCAAACTATACATATTCTTACCTGCTTTTTAATATTGAGATAGGTCCTTCAGTGCTTTTCTTACAAGATGAGATACTTTAATCATGTGATCACTTTCAATGATCACATCCCAGTTCAGAACAAATGTTCTTAGAAAGATGGGCTCCATGTACTATGTTGCCAGCTGGCATGAAGCGCTACTATAAAACCTGTTAATACAAAAAGAGGTGATATCATCAATCTCAATGCACCACATGACTTCCCTGAGTTAAACAGTGGGTGACCCTTTCTAAGCCTTTTGCTTATGAGTTTATACAAATGGCGTTATGCCAGACACTAAGCTTAGCAATGTGGTTAGCGATGCACCGATATTATTTTTTCCAGGCCGAGTACGAGTACTGATACTTTTCCTCAAATACTCGCCGGTACCAATTACCGATACTTTTTTTGTCATGTGACAGTTTTTCTAACACAATACAGACTAATGATTTTAGGAGAGTGGTGGAGTGCCAGGGCCCTGTCGCAGCTGCAACCGCTGTGACCCTGGTAGTTTTGTCTCTAACTCCAAGATGCAGAGGGACTACAAATCTCAGCATTACATTATACAGCAATGCAGAATACCACCAGCTATAGAGGATTACAAATCCCAGCAATACATATTACAGCAATGCAGAATAATATGAAGCTACATACTCTGTGTTGCTCCAGGGTGGTGGCCTGATGTGTCCAGGGTCTCGGGAGGGCTGTGCGTGGTCTCAGGTGGGCTGTGCAGGATCTCAAGTGGGCTGTGCAAGGTCTCACCAGGGGTCCGGAGGGTCTCGCGTGGTCTCTGCCTAGGTAAGAGGAGGGGATGTGCAGCCGGTGCTGTAAAAAGGAACCGCAGTTCACAGGAAGGCTGCTGAGGTCCTCAGCAAGCACGGGAACGCAGACAGCCACCTCAGTTTAAAAATTTAAAGCACCTGTATTAGTGTTTAGTTTTGGGGCATTTTCACGAGTAGTCGTGAAAATGCCCAGTATCAGCAACAATACCAGTATTGATATTGGTGCATACCTAATTGTGGTAGCACAATTAATACCTTAACTTGCATTCTTCTAGTCAGCCTAGTGCAGATTTTCCTTAGCCTACTGTAAATTCTTTTGGCAGTTTAAGATGGGCCCTGTGTTCTGGTGTTGATCTTTTTCTCCCACAATTGTTGCACTGTGGGGTGATCATATGCTGCTATGTCCAAAGTCAGCTGATGTCTCCCTCATTCTTCCACCTGGGCTGCCTCCTATATAGCAGATGTTTGAGTCTCTTATGTCCTGATGGGGTCTTTAAAGCCATGATCCTTTTATTTCTTTGAAAAGTGCAACACCTCTACAGTCATCCATTGTGCACCAACGACCATGCTTTTTTTCTGTTTGGTCATTTCTGCATATGAATAGCATTTGGTGAAAATAATAATATATTGTTCGACATTTGCGAATGGCAAAGGTAAACCTATTTCTGCTACAAAGGCAGGGCTTCTATTTTTTATGGCCAAAGAATGTACCTGCAAATCAATCAGTGGAAAATAAATGATTATCAAAGGTACGTTTAGATTGGTACTGCATCCCATGGTGTACAGGAAGAGCCTGATTTATGTGCTCTGCTAAAAAAATTTAAATAAGGTATTTCCAGGCAGACTGCAAAGGACTGGCAGAGGACAACAAAATAATTGTGAAGCAATCTACAATTATTTTATTGTTAGTTACAACAACAAATAATTGTTTTTCTTTAATTTTCCCCCATATCAGGACAAATGGGTATTGGAACATGAAGAAGTCATCCTTGGAGAAAGAATTGGTCGGGTGCGTTATCTGTTATACTTAATGTGATTCAGACTCATTAAAATATATCTTATTAATAGCAGCTGATAATAACAAAACAAACAGCAAGGATGTGGCAACACAGCCTAATTAAACCAGCAGAATCAGATAAAATGTGCAATAGCTGGAAAAAAAAATATTTAGTGCAAATATTATTCTTAAGAACCATAGCAAAATTAATTATCTATAAGGAAATCTCACATTTCTAGCCAAGCGGTATGTAAAACGTCTGTTCGCTCACTGAAATAAAAACATTTACTTATTTAACATGAGCAAATAGTTTAATATTTATAGTATGTTCTGTTTAAGTATACACAGTGATATGTAGTGATGTTCACTTTCTTTTTAGTTCAGATAAAAAAAGTGATTTATAGAGGATATGTCATTTTAAAAATAATATGCACAGACCACCTAGTATGCCGCATTCTTTAGCAACGCTTCAAGGCTTTCATTGCCTACTCTGCTTTTGGTGAGAGTCAGTTGCATGCTTCTTTTTGGGGCAGTCATCTCCCGTGCTGTAAGGCCCCATTCACACCTGAGCTTTTTTTAGCTCAAATCTACAGATGATCAACATTAAGCCCTCATTCCCACGAATAACAGCCAGCCCGTACAGATCCGTGTTGCGTGCACGGCCGTGTCAGGCCGCTCCGGGAAGGACAGGTCCTGCGTGTGCTTTGTAGGCAGCAGCCTGTTCTTCTCTACGGGAGTACGCGGCCATACGCTCACCCGAACTGCATGTCCGTGTGGGTGCCCCTGCTCGGACGCAGACAGGATCCATCCTGTCAGTGTATGAGTACGGACACCCCCACGGACGTGCAGTTCGGGGGAGCGTACGACCGCATACTCCCATAGAGAAGAACAGGCTGCTGCGTACAAATCACACGCAGCACTGGTCCTTCCCGGGAGCAGCCTGATACGGCCGTGCACGCAGCACGAATCTGAACGGGTCGGCTGTTAGTCATGTGAATGAGGGCAAAGTATCCCACTGTCTTCTATGGTGTCTGTTCACATCTGAGCACTCAAGAGCCTGTAGCAAAACACCCATTCCAAAAAGTACAGGAGATTCTTTTCAGGTAGAATCAAACATTTTGGTGCAAAAGACTTTAATGGGAACAACGAAAAAATGCATATTTATGTGCATTTTTGATGTAAGATTCTATGGGGTCAAAAATACCCAATTCTGCTTCTGTACTACAAGTAGTGCCAAAAAACACTTGGAAAACCACGTATACAAAGAAGAAACCCTGTAAATCACCTGGCTATGCTCATGCTTTGATGTGAATGCAGCATTGTTTAGTAGTGTATGAATCCAGCACTGCTCAAAGATCTCAAACCCACTTTTTCTGAGCAGAGGGAATATGGAAAACCTTGTAGCTTTGTCAAGATACATGGAGCACTAGGTGATGTGTGCACGTTATTTTTAAACTAACAGATCCTCTTCAATCAGTGTCAGTAAATTCTGCTGCTCAATTACTACATCACTAGACAGCGTGATTGCCATCCAAACTTGTCAAGATTGCAGGAATAGTACATCAGGCATTTAAAGTCTTCAGGTACTATACATTTATTCTCCAGCAATGTGTCATGGATTTGTGTGGACTCTGTGTCACCAGTGAGGTGTTTACTCCCATGATCTCAGGGACTTCCACAAGGAGATATACATTGTTGTCTAATATTAACAGACAATGGGCCTGGGGTTAGTCCCATTAGTAACAGGCGATTATTATTATTATTATTCAGGATTTATATAGCGCCAACAGTTTGCACAGCGCTTCACAAAATTGAGGGAGACAGTACAGTTATCAATATAATTTCAATACAGGAAGGTAGGAGAGCCTTGCTCGTGAGAACATACATTCTAGTAGGAAGGGCAAGTTATGCAAAAGGTAATAATTGTGTGGGATGATTTAAGGGAAGAAGTAAAAGGATTTGTATGTGGAGGTGGCATAAGCTTCCCTGAAGAGATGAGTTTTCAAACATTGCTAAAGGTGGATACAGTAGTAGATAAGTGGACAGATTGGAGTAGAGAGTTTCAGAGGATGGGAGGATGAAGGCGAGCATCGGAGGAGGTGACAAGAGAGCTGAAGAGCAGGAGGTCTTGGGAGTAGCGCAGAAGATGGTTTGGGTGATATTCTGAAATTAGTTTGGTTATGTAGGTTGGGGCAGAGTTGTAGATGGCGTTGTATGTTATTGTTAGTATTTTGAATGTTATTTGTTGGAGAAGTGGAAGTCAGTGGAGGGACTGGCAGAAAGTGGTGGCAGACGCTGATCAGTTGGTAAGGTGGATAAGTCTAGCAGCAAGGTGTATGATAGACTGAAGGTGGTATAGCCTGTTTATTGGTAGGCCAACAAGGGGGGAGTTACAGTAGTTGAGGCGAGTTATTACAAGGGAGTTAATTAAAAGCTTTGCGGTGTCATTTGTTAAAAAGGTGCGAATTTTGGAAATGTTACAGAGGTTAAGTCAGCAAGATTTGGATAGTGGTTGGGTGCGGGGCTGAATGCTCAGAATCAAGGATTACACAGAGCACACTGGCTTAACAGGAGGGGTTGATTGTAGTGCTGTTGTGTGTGATGGATAACTCTGTTTTGGACAGATTGAGTTAGAGGGAGTGGTGTGACATCCATGTTGATATGTCAGCGACTAGATTAGTGATGCATGAGGAGATAGAAGGGGTGAGCTGAGGGGTGGAGAGATAGGTGTCATCAGCATAGAGATGCTATTGGAAGCCATGAGAGGTTATCAACTGACTCAGGGAAGAGGTGTAGATGGAGCATAGAAGGGACCCAAGGACAGAGCCTTGGGGGACTCCCATGGAAAGAGGAAGAGGAAAGGAGGAGGTAGCGTTAAAGGTGACACTGAAGGTGTGCTGGGATAGGTAGCAGGTGAACCATGAGAGAGCAGAGTCTTGGAGGCCAAGGGATTGGAGTTTTATTGAGGTGCAGCGGGTGGTCAGCTGTGTAAAAAGCAGTAGAAAGGTCCAAAAGTATGAGTATAAAGTAGTAGGCATTGGTTTTAGCAGTAAGAAGATAGTTCGTAAGTTTTAGAAGGGAAGTTTTTGTGGAGTGTTGCGGACAAAAGCCAGATTGAAATGGGTCAAGGAGGTTGTTAGCAGTAAGGTGATGGCTCAGGCGGTTGTAGACCAGGTGTTCAAGAAGTTTGGAGGTAAATGGCAGCAAGGGGATGGGTCTCAAATTGTTCAGACTGGTAGGCCCCACTGAGGGCTTTTTTTAATATGGGGGTCATCAATGCTTGTTTTAGAGGGGTAGGGACGACGCCAGTACAGAGGGAGATATCGAAGATGTGAGTAAGAGATTGTAGAATAGAATTAGAGGGTGGCCGGTTGTGAGGGGATGGGCTCCAGGGTGCAGGTAGTTAGGTGTGTGTTGGACAAAAGAGTAGCAGTTTCAATTGTTCGAGCAGGATCAAATAAAGAAAATAATGAAAGTGGTGGTAGACAAGGTGTATTCAGAGTGGAAGATGTCTGGACAGTGGAGACTTCATGGCCAATTGCATCAATCTTGTCTTTGAAGTGATTGGCAATCTCCCGGGGAGTGAGTAAGTACTATTTTTAGGTTAAGGTACATCAAGTATAGCCACTCACTTTTTTTTCCATGAATGCCTGTTACTCAAACAATATTCTGCTTTTACAGCAGATTGTAGGTGCTGAGATCCCTAAAATAGAGTTTTTGATACCACAGCATATACACAACACTGGATTGTACGGCAGAAATATAGTGTGCTAGGCTTTTTATACAGTGGCCTGTTCTATTAAGCAAAAAGTAGACCAACTTGTATTGCTTTCTCCTGACAGGTCCTGCAAGTGCCTTGTTCTTTGTTACCATCAGACCTTGTTCTTTGTTACTGTTCTTTGCTACTACCCTGGTTATAAACTGTATCCAAGCTACCTTTCTACTATCTGCATTTGTCTGTAAACAAAAAAATTTGAATTATTTCTAAGCACTCTATGCCTGGTGACATTGATGATAGAACAGATCTTTTTCTAGTTCTGCTTTTGTACAGACATAACATTCTCCTGCACAATGAAAACCTGTGCTGCAGAAACCCTCATTAAAGCATTATCATGTTTTATCTCCCATAGGGTAATTTCGGAGAGGTGTTCAGCGGGCGCCTTCGTGCTGACAACACTCCCATTGCGGTTAAAACTTGCCGGGAGACTTTGCCGCCAGATTTGAAGGACAAGTTTCTTTTGGAAGCTAGGTGAGGATGCTGCTCTGCGTCTGTCAGACCTTTGGAATTTAATTAGCTTTTCCTTTATAGACATTGAGCCTTGTTCCTCATCGCTTCCCTTCCATTAATTTTACTCAATGGCTATAGCTTAACTGACAAATCCAGGCAGCACTCATTGATCTGACACAGTAAAGGCATGTAAAGTGTTCTGTAAGTGCAGCCTGCTGGATCATTAGGTGCTGAGATTGTATAACAAATTACAGTCAGTGGACGCTTTCATATTGATTTGTTTCTCATCTGTGTCATGTACGCTAGAGCAAGATGTCAGCTCAGTGACTGGAAGGCAGATCCTTTGGTTCAAACATATTTCAAGGTGATGGCATTTGCTGCTTTATATGCTCTGCACTTCACCCCTTTATAACTAAAGGTACCATCCACACATTGCTAAAAACTGTTATACAAGCAAAGCCATTTCAGTGTAGTTATGTGACCATCTGATCGTACAGCAATATCTGTTGTTTTCTGGCAACTAAGCGGTGGAATGCCAATTACACTACTTGGAAAGTTTTGCTACAAACATGTAAGCACAATGTGCCCGGCAAAAGATCTTTACATAAACACACATGCTCAGATCACCCTAGTGAACACCTCTATGCCTATATAAGAAGCTGGATGGGAGCAGGAAGACAAGGGATGTCTGTTTGTGACTTGATGATATGAATGAACGGTAATACTATCGTCCAATACCTGCAGTATTTTCAGGATTAAATTGGCCATGGGGAGCCCCAGACTGCAGCAGATCACCACTGGGAACCTTGACTGGTACAAAAGTATATCAGAATTCTTAGAATTTTTCATTTGATATCTTGTTGTTAGCCTGATATAGAAGTGTCAATATGAGTTGCTGCAACTCACATAAACATATACAGTATATTCAAAAGAAATAGTGGAAAGAAAGATTGATTAGCTGTCAACAAATAAGTCAGCATTTGCTGACATCCAACTTTTTATCTGTTGCATAAGGCCAGCCTACACTTTTGCATAGAGATAAATTCTGCACAAAAATGAGACATCATTTATAGAACCTGGTGGAATGTTTCACTTCCTGTTGAGTGGACAGTAAAGGAGAAGCAGATTACTGATTAGGATATCCTTCTTCTTACTGCACTCTCTTGTCCTCTCAGCCTGTTCAGAGCCAGCACATGTACATGTAACAGTGACTGATTGACTTCTAGTGCTAGCCTCTCTAATGTCTGGGGAAAAAAAGTAATAGGCTATTACGCTGCTTATGAAAGTGCACAAAGCTAGAAATAGAGTTGGCATTATAATAATTATCCTGGGGGCTTAGACTGGATTTAGACCTGTGCTACTGCACGTGTGTTAATGTGTGTTATTTTTGTCAATATGAGGCAACTGTCCAAAAAAGTGCATGACCTTTTTTTCAATGCAGTGCACCATAACACAGCATGTGCTTTGTGTGTGCTACAGAGTGGGGCCTTGCCTGCTACTGTTTAGGTGCATTTGGGCCCCACTCAAAATGAATGCACCACACTGTGTATATGTGTTGCCATGTGTGCAGTTAACACACTCTACCACAATTCATAGCACTGGATAGGCCCCCAGAACAAGGTATAATAGATGCATTTGCCATGCATTCACATCAACTAGTATGGAGGAATAAAGGCAAAGCACAAGCTAAAGCCAAACTGATCTTAAAGGAAACATGTACAGGCAGTCCCCGGGTTACGAACAAGATAGGGACTGTAGGTTTGTTCTTAAGTTGAATTTCTATGTAAGTTGGAACAGGTAACTCCAGCCAAATTTTTTAAATTTTTGGATAGCATAGGGAAGGCTTAACCCCCCTGTAACGTTTGTTTTGCTGTGTGTGTGTCCCATTCAAAAGATTTCACCTCACTTTCTGTCCCTGTGACAATTGGATTTTGAGAATTTTGGGTTGTCGTGGAAACAAGGATTGGTGATAAAGCTTCAGTGGAGACACTTTTCTCCCATTATAACTCTTACAGGAGTAAATTTCCCTTCCTAGTGGTAGATTTCCTCTCACTTCCTGTTGTCTCAAGGACAGGAAGTGAGATTAAATCATTCTAATGAGGATACAGACAGCAGTAAAAACCTCACAGTGACCCCTCGCCTGCATGTCTAACAAGAGCCAACTTCCTGTAATGTACGTAAGTACTGCTATATAGACCCAAAAAGGCGGGCAATCCTCGTCGGCACGAGTGCTGTAGCATTACAACTACTGAAATGCTGCGCGGTACACTTTGGGTGCAGCCTGGGGCCCCCTGCTGTACAGTAATAGCCTCTGTTTGTAAGTAGGGGTCGTATGTAAGTTGGATGTTTGTAACTCGGGGACTGCCTGTACTGAGAAAGAGTGGAGGCTTCCATCGTTGACCTGTAATTCTGAAAATACTAGTTGCCTGGCTACCATGCCGATCTAATAAGTTCTGTGTTTTCTGAGGCAAGTATGACAAAATCTGAAAAAATTGAGGTATTGCATAAATCCAGCAGTCTTACTCTAGTTAAAAATCATTGTAGGCATCTTTATGCTAAAGGCAACGTCTTCACTTTTCCATTGTCCCACTTTTGATACTGCAGACTGTTCTGTAACTCAGGGAAAGATGAAGTCATGATGAAACAAGAGAAATGTTGGCTTGTTTTAGGGCCCATATATATCTTTGCGCTGCAGTAGCAAGTGCATTACCTCAAAGTTTGGTAACACACATCATATAAAATTGCTGCATTGCGGTGACACTCGTTTTGAATGGCACCCCAACACACTATGGAAACACACATACTTTGCAGTAGATTATAATCCACTGCAACACTCTAAAGTGCATTGCCGTGCATTGATTTCATATGCTTCTTTCCTATAGAAGAACATTTGTTCTTTCCTTGATTCACACAGGAACGAATGGCCTGTGAATTATCTATAAATACACCCCTATGTGCTAATTAATTGGATAGTGCTAACATGCAATAAAATGCACCTAGGTAGCAACTCACAGATGTAAAGCAGCCGTACCGCTGCTTTAAATGAAAGAAAAGGAAAAAAAATATCATAATTTATAAAGCACAGCACTGTGCTTAACATGTGTCTTATGCTTAATTTATTTGGGACTCCAAAGATGGTAAACCCCAGTCCCATGACTGGATGGGAAAAAAAGGCCAGGAGGAGGAATGTCCAGTGATCTGACCTGCCAAAGTCATGTGACTGCCTCTTTTTCAATCACAGAGTGCTCTATTTAGTGTTGTACAGAGAATACTACATGTGGCACCGAAAGTTCTAAACTGCAGTCTGAATTTTATAAATGGGTTGTAAAATGAATGTGTAGTGTGAGGAAAATACTGCGGTGTCCAGCAGAGAGCAGATTGCAAAATCCACTCTCCACTACTAAAAGGCCTTTTATTTCTTTTTTGTTGTTCGACTGAGCCGAAGTGGCAGCCGAAGGGTGAAGAAAGGTCGGCAGAAGCCGATCGATCTCCACGCAAATAACAGCTGGGCGGAGCCAGCCTTGATCTTACGGCTCGCTCCGCCCAGTTGTAATGACAGATCATTCTCCCCAAATGACCTGGGGACACTGATCTGTCATTAAACAATAACAAATGGGCGGAGCCCGCCGTGACGCATTTTCAATAGGAAACAGATGGGTGGAGATAGCTGTCACTGCTAGCTCTGCCCAATTGTTTTTATTTTTTATTTTCTATAAAAATATTGTTTTTTACTCGAATAAATGGCAAACGCACTCATCAATTTGTTACCAGCTTTACAGCAAGGTGCACACGGAAGGGCTTTATACAGTAACAGCAAAAAGTTTCCCAGCACACTCGAAAGCCAGAATGCAAAAAAACTTGTCTCACCGCTAAGTTTAAAAACAGAGGTTTAGATACACGTCTTCTGCATAAAATGTGAAAGCCGCACCGCCTCGTCAAGGCACCTCTATATAATCTGATCTTTTGCCACACGTGCTCCAAGATGGAGACTCTCATAGTTTAGAGTTAGGACCGCACTATATAGAGGTGCCTTGGCGCGGCTGTGCGGCTTTCACATTTTCTGCAGAAGACGTGTATCTAAACCTCTGTTTTTAACCTTAGCGGTGAGACAAGTTTTTTTGCATGCTGGCTGGTGAGTGTGCTGGGAAACTTTTTGCTGTTGTACTGTATAAAGCCCTTCAATGTGCACCTTGCTGTAAAGCTGGTAACAAATTGATGAGTGCGTTTGCCATTTGTTTTGCTTGACTGATTTGGTGCAGTGACGCATGGGGAGTCTCAGCTGCCGTTGTGATGTGCGGGGTCCCTTGTGCGTTCCTGTGCCTTTAAGACGTGAAGGCGTGTATCTAGATACACGCCAGAAGACGTGTATCTAGATACACGCCAGAAGACGTGTATCTAAACCTGTTTTTAACCTTAGCGGTGAGACACCTTTTTTTGCATGTTGGCTGGTGTGCTGGGAAACTTTTTGCTGTTTTTGATATTTCACAGGAGCTTTCATAGAAGCTGCTCCATAAAGGTTAATTTGCAGTCATTTTGGGATAGTCTAAAATCCATAGAACCCCCATTGGACTTTATAAGTAGTAGGGTTGCACAGATACCAAGTACAGTACATGTGCCGATGCTTTTGAGCTCCAAGACTACACTAGAGAAAAATTCAAAAATTAGGAGGCAGCTGTCATTTGTAAGGAGCACACGGAGCTCCCGGGATTTGTACATCTCTGTTTTAATGTACGATTTTGTTTTTATAAATATAAATAAAGGGATGCACAGATACCAGTTTTGCGAGTACGAGTACTGGTACTTGCCGAGTACTTACAGATACAAGTACTGATACATTTCTGTTTATTGTCATGTGACAGTTTTTCTAAAACAATACAGACTAATGATTTCAGTACAGTGGTGGAGTGCCAGAGCCAGGTCCCAGCTGCAACCGCTGCAACACTGGTAGTTCTCATGAAAAGTATCTGTGCATCCCTAATAAGTAGAGTCAAATGAGAATGTTGGAAGCAGGGAAGGGACAGAGGAAGCTATTAATAATGATAAAAAAGTAGAACTGTTCTGTGCATATTTCCTGTTTTATCTTAAGGAGATAAATTAGTCCTCCTAGTTCGTATCCTCGACTACAAATTAATCTATGTTGTGGAACTGGAAAAGTAGGAGGGTTTGAGTACTTTAGCAAAAGAAAACTGGACATGGCTGACACCATGTACTACAAAAATGCTGTGTGTTGTCAGCGCACAACAGGACTTATGTATTTCAGGCAGATCAACAAGTAACTTTCTAAATTTGCAAGGTATTTCAAGCAGGGATGTGCAGTAAGGTCCATGCTAGATGAGGCATTCCCCCTGCCCTCCCCGCCCCCAGTCCGGTGCCACTCCCAACCCGGTCACCGAGCTAAGTGTGGAGGAGGGAGGGAGAAGGGAGGAGACAGGAAAGAGTCTTCCTGTCCCTTACTTCTGTCACTGCTGAGGCATCGCGGTAGATGTCCTCAGTGTTTTTTTTTCTTTTTTTGATTGGACAGCTTAGACCAATGGTGCTTTGCCATTGGTCCAAACCATCCACAGTGCTCAAGCCTCTAACATAGAGTAGAGGCTGTTGCAGCTCTTGCCTCACTATCTTAGGTTACACAAGCAGTGGGTTAGCCCGCTGCTGTGTAACATAACTTAGCTGTCAAAAAGTGGATGAAGTGCGGCCTGTAATTACCAGGCAGCGCTCCGTCCATGACAGGTTACACAGCGGGGAGGCTTTCTCTGCTGTGTAACCTGATAGAAGCCGACATGACGCGCTATAAGCAAGCTGTTATGTGTCATTACACAAACCATAAACAAAATGTAAGTTTGAGGTTGCTACTTCTATTGGGAAACTAACAAAATATTAATACCGCCAGCTATAATGTACTATTGCTGGGATGTATTGTATTCCTCTATAGCTGGTGGTATTCTGCATTCATTGCTGTATAATTTTACACTTTTCATTTCACTATATTGTACACCAGACTTTTTTTTATCTTTTTTACTTCTACTGCTCCAAGCTTGCTCCTGTGATGGACTGCAATCTCAATACAAACTAGAAGTCCCATCACTGGAGCCATTTTTTTAAATGTATTTTATTTTTTATCCGATTAACCGATTAATCGAACTTAATAATCGGCTAACTAATCGATTTTGAAAATAATCGTTAGCTGCAGCTCTAGTCTCCTTACACATTAAGTATGCACATTCAAGGTTCCATCAAGTCTCAATCAATATGCAGTGACTCACGATTTTGTATACTCTAACTGTAAAATAGCACTTACTTAGTCTCGATAAGTTTTATCTGACCCCCCCTCAAGGATCGTCCATACCACATCCAGAGTCCCACTGTCAGTTTGCTAAGTCCGCTGGCGTTGTCACAGCTTGGTATTATTTGTGGATGTTCTGTTTTAATTGATTTTACCATGTATAAATAAAATTGATAGTTGATATTGTTCTGAATAAGGGTATACATCCAAAAATGTACGTTTATGTATATGTTTGATGTAATAGAGGATAAAAGTAATTTGGAATCTGCAATCTGGGGACATACTTTTATCTGTTCCCTTGGAGTGATGGAGACATTAAAGGTTTTCTGTTACAATCATTTAGGTTATCATACATCTCACAAACACAATCAAACATCTCATTTTAGTTTTTGCTTCTCTTTTACAAGTTTATTTAGCTTTCCCATTTTAGTAGAAATCTTAGTATTATAATTAGACGTTGTAGTTCTTGATGTTAGAACCGTATACTATAAAAGTGATTAAAGTGTTCTATCAGTTTTACAATATAACTGTGAATATATGCTTCCAATATTGATTTTTTTTGCCATGTTATGTACTCAGTTTATGTTCTCAATATAAGTTTATAATCTGGTTGGCGTTACAGGGAGTAGGTGGTATAATATTAATATAAATGATTCACAAAATTGTAAATCTAAAGTTGCAGTTTATAAAAGCATTAGGTTCAACAACTTGAGCGTAGCTGCTGCACAGCTGCTACTGAACACTTTGAAAAGGTATTTAGACTTTCACATTGTGCTGAAATACGTGTGATAATGAGGCAGTATTTCATCAAGCTTACTGTTTAAAACACTTATTTGAAAAAAGTTTAATGGTGTTTATTTGACACTGCAATTGTCTAGTAATGCAGGTAGAATTAGCACTAATACATGTGATAAGTCAACCTTCAAAATTTAATATTGAGTATCAAGACACCTCTTAATTCAGCTATGTTGTTCTCTAGCCTTTGGAAATGTGTAACCTGAAGCATGGGAATGTGATCCCAGTAGAAAGAAGGGCTCTTCGATCACTTAGCAGGGATCTGAGCATTACCATCTTGCCAGCAGACAGGGGGAAAAGCACTATGGTTATGAATACATCCAATTACCATTCCAAGGTGGCCACTCTTCTCAGTGATGCCAACACTTATGGGTTAGTGAAGAAGGACCCCACTAACTGTTACATGAAAAAGGTGGTAGACAGTTTACAACAGCTAGAAAGGGTAAAACCCATTGATTAGACCTTGTACAAGTGTTTCTTTCCTGGGGAAGACACACCATGCTTGTACAGATTCACTAGATACACAAGGAAGGTGCTCCTCTAAGACCGATTGTCATCCACATCAACTCACAAATAACATTGCTAGGTTTCTGGATTCTATCTTATCTCCCTTAGTTGGCAACATGCTAAACCATATCAAGAATTTTAAAGAATTTGTCAGCAAGGTACGTGGACTGAAGTTAGTGCCAGAAGAGACAATGGTGTCCTATGATGTCACATCCCTGTTCACTTGCATATCAATTGCAAAAGCTATTTAGACTATAAGGAAACATCTGAAATTAGATAAGACTTGTGACTGTTGAAAAGAACTCAAGCCAGACCAAATATGTTTCTTGATGGACCTTTGTCTCAACACCACCTATTTCAAGTACAAGAATAACTTCTGCAGAAAGAAACAAGACTGTGGTGTAGGATCACCTATATCTCCCACTGTAGCAGCTAACTTGTACATGGAGGAGGTAGAGAAGAGAGTATTGAACTCTTTCAGGGGAGTAACACCAAGTTATTGGTACAGGTATGTGAACGATATGTGGGTCAAGATTAAAACTCGGAAATACACTGTATATGCTTTTTGTGAACACATTAAAGCGGACCTTTACCCAAATCTTTGCAATAACAACAAACACACCTTTAGAAATGTTTAGTAATGACAATCTACAAACACATACTTCTAGATAGTTGCAGGCTTTGTATTCTTTGCATTCCTTATTTCTCCTTTCTTACCCAGTCTTCTGACAGTGTCTATGTTTACTAAGGGCAGATTGCTAGCTCTCCTTTTACTTCCTGGATTTCTGGCACATGTAACTAGACATGTGACTAGGACATGTGACCATGCACATCATCTCAGGGGAGGAAAATGCCTTTCCCTGCGATCTCCTGGGATAACAGATTAAATTTCCCAGCAATGCCCTGCTGATGACAAGGCCATCCCAGTGCATTGCATTGGCAAACTGAAGTAATTTTGCCCTTTTAAAGCAGGAAGTGAATGCATTTTACACCTGACAAGTCTATGTTAATATTAATCATCATACATAGAGGGATGCATTGGTAGAATTTGATTTTTGAGTGCAAAGGTCTGATTTAACTCAGTGGATAAAAATCAGGTTTACACTGGAAGAGGCACACACAGAATAACAAATTACCCTTTTGGACTGTGTATTACTTGTCAAGGAGGGGGGTGACTTGGACATTGAGGTCTACAGGAAACTGACCCACACAAACCAGTATCTGCTTCTTGACTACTGCCACCAACTGGAACTCAAACTGGGAGTTTTTAGAATTCTACAACATCGGGCTAAGAGGGTAACAACAAACACAACTAAAGACAAAGAACACAGACATCTCAGGAGTGCTTTGAAAGTTCATGGCTACCCAAACTGGGTTTTCATTAAAACACTCAAAGTCAGACAAAAACACAGAATGGTCAAGCAGAGGGGAGAAGCAGAACACACAAAGAAATATGGTCATCCTGTATGTAACTGGAATGCTGGGGGAAAAAAAGATTGTCTTATATCTCTCAATGACTTATATTTTATATATCTCTCAAGTACACAATGAAATCTACCAACCATTTCCAGGTCTGCTCTTTGCACCACTACCACAACAATGGCTCAGTGTCTAGTGTATAATAATTAGAGGATATATCCAGCAGCAGCAATGAGATACTCTGGCAATGGCTATGATAGGTAGTAAATATCAATTTTGGATTGACAACACTAAATTTACCCTTGATAGTTATACTACATATATTACTTATCTAAATAGGTCATGTCTTGCACACATATTTGCAGCATTTGAAGACTCATAAATAAACCAACTTAAAAAAAAATGGCAAGAAGTGCTTAACTGTATAACAGCTGTCAGAGAAAAACAAGGCAGTAAAATACAATGCCACAATGTAAATGGCATTTTTCTGCAGTTTCAGTTTGCAAATAAACATCAGTTAATTTTATTTTTCCAGCGCTATGATTTATTCATTATTTAAGGCTGAGCAAGCTTCGCTTATTTGTAAGTGTAGATCATATTGTCATAGTGTCTGCCAGCTTTTACTGAGCCTCGAAATGTAATCTTACCATTTGTGTTCTCTTTGTAAAGGATTCTGAAGCAATATAGTCACCCTAACATTGTCAAACTAATTGGAGTCTGCACACAGAAGCATCCCATTTACATTGTCATGGAGCTAGTACAAGGTGAGCATTAGCCTGTCCTGCTGTACATCAAAAACAAAATATATCTCAACACAGAGTAGCATTATCAGACAGAACATAGTTTGGAGTCGGACATACTTACTGTATAAACATACTTAACTTTGTTTTATTGCCTGCAGACCACAAAAGCCTCTATAGACATTATTACTCAATGTAAGGGCACTGCAAGTATGCTTGCCTAAGTTAGGTTTATTTTAATAGGGTAATCCAAACTAAAATAGAGGCTTTCCTAAAATCTCAAGTGTATTATGTAAGATTCAAAGTGGGGCATTTTTGGGGTGGATTTTAAACTAGCCATGCAATAGTAGTACTGGCCATGTGCCCCAGCTGACCAACTGCTGATTCTTTGACAGAGTTGGTCATAACGTGTATGGGCAAATTCAAAAGATTTAAGTTAGAAGCAAATTGCCTTGATATCATTAAATTAAGCTGCTGTACAGTCCTCACAAACATAGAACCGCAGTCTTCATTCTACTGAGGAATTACCACATTTATATGGAATAGTAGACTCATTCAGACAACTCTAAAATGACTTACTGGGCTATTAAAGTTGTCTCGTGTATTGGGTGTCTCATAATACGTGCACTTTTTCTGGAGTTTAGGCTCATAAAACTATAATCTGTATATGTAGGCAAAAAAGAAAGGAAAGAAAAAAGTGCCACATTTGAAGGTATATTGTAGTCAAAATTAAAAATTAAACCCTGAGAAGCATAGCTGGAGCAAAGCCATTACGCTCAGTTCTTCCGTTTTCCCTCCAGGTATAGATAGAGCACCAGACCACCAAATTCTCTTTTTTCGGTAGACCCGTGATCAGATCCCCTGCATTAGGTGCGACCAAACACACCTACTGCAGGCTCATTCTTCTCTTACAGAAAGTCTGCAAATAATGTCGGTAACAAGAAATGTTTACATTTGATTGTAATTTGTGTGA